TCACACAATGTTGTTAGTTTGACAGCATGAAGCAAGGTGGAGGACACTGTGTCCGGAAACAGTGACCTTACTGCAACCATCCACGGTTGGCAGAGCCCCGGTCCGTTGGGACCATCTGAACCATATGGGTATTGAACCCGGTTCTGACCCTCATTATGCTAGGGGAGGTTTTAGACAACACCCATCATATTATGGTTCAGAAGGTCCCAACGGACCTGGGCTCTGCCAACCGTGGAAGGTTGTAGTAAGGTCACTGTTTCCGAACACAGTGTCCTCCACCTTGCTTCATGCTGTCAAACTCCATGTAACAACATGTACATGTACATATACATTGATACAATATTCGATATTATCGCAAACTATAACCGAGCACACCGATACGGACTGTAAGACTATTAGTTATAATGTATTTTCATCTCCAAAGCTATACAACCTTGCCGTATCCGGCCTTCTGTGTACCGCTATTACCTCATGGTCTTGCAAACAGTCCGTAGATGTACATATTCATATATGAACACGTAAAACAGAGGGGTTCCGTTACTATGACCACCAATCATCATTCCGTCACAGACAACACGAGAAGGACACCCGCCTATCGCTGTATGTCTGGGCCAAGAAGGATGAAGGGAAGGCAGGCATGCAGCATTCGATGGACAGTCCACCGCAAAGCAGTGGCCTACAGCAACAAAAGAAAGAAGGTGCAACTTATGCCTGGCGGAAAAAAGGGCAATCGCGCAAACACCCAAGCACCTCTCTCACAACAAGATGAGTGAACTTGTGTCAAAGTGTCGCCACGAGAATAAGTACTATCTTCAGAACTTCAAACCATCGACAGACATCACCAAATCAAGTAGCAGACAACCAGCTCTAGTGCGTGTCACTTGCAGTAGTATTTTTCACCACTGCTGTCATTCACACCTTTCAAAGTCATGCCGTGATGCAATCTTTCACAACATCTGTCATTTACACTTTGCTTTGTGGGTGTATAAACCAGTATCCACTCATTACTCATTACTGTTTTCTGATGATGGTATTGTTTTTACATGTACTGTCATGTACAATCATGTATGCTCTAGGCTTCGTTTGGATTGTTGGAGGAAGGCACGACTACTGGAATGTAATACACATACGTGTATTACACAGCAATGAAGCAAACAAATCACTTTCCGCTGTTTACTGGGAGTTTCGTGTGAAAACACTCATCAGACAGCATGTAATACAATGTGGATGGAGGCGAGATCTCGATACGTGCTCTGCTCTGACGTTACTACTACCAAGAGTCCATAACCAGGTTATCTACTCTTGCTACTGCGTATACATGTAGCCTTGTTTGATTGCTAGTGCTGTTACACCGGAAACCGCAGCATTCCATTTCCACTGTCATTCGCATAAGGTCACACTCAATGCCAATATCATCATGGGCTTGAAATGTTTCTGAACACTAGCAACTGTACGCGAAGGCGGCTCTAACATGTTGTGGAGCAATTCGTTGCTGGGGCGAATCCCGTGCGACCAACTTGGTAATAGGGACCGGCGGATTATGCTCGAAAAGGTGGCAGATTAGAACCATACAAACCTTATGGCGGGCAATTCCTCGAATTCTGCTCCATTTCTTTATCCACATACCAAACATGCATGAAACTTACCAGAAAAAGTACCGAATTCTGCCAATTTTTCTGCCGGCAGAATCCGCCGGACCCTACTTGGCAAGGTTTTCCTGACTTTGAGCGAAATGTTCTATTGTCGCGCACGCAGTTCTCGCCTTCGACGCCGGGATGGTTCTATACCCCAATCCAGGACAGAGCATACCACACAAAAGGCAAAACAACAGAGACCAAACATCTTTCCGTAACTTCGAGCTTTGTGAATAACACTCGTCAGGCGGTAATCAGGCGCTGATATTCGCTTGCTACTAGTATATGACGTATTGACACTTGAAAGGAATCAAAAACGTTTCCGTGCTGTAGGTGTAACTCTGAGTTTCACGGTTTTAACCGATCATCAGACAGCAACTTGACTACAATTTTCAGAAGATATGATTGATACTTTTATTATTCTTTATTTCCACGATGGCCCATGGCCAATAAGGAAGATAATAATTATGATTTAAATCAGTCCAGAATCATATAAAATCAGTCTAGCAAGTAAGGAAACCAACACATTGCAGGGGGTGGGGTTACGATGGGGTACAGTGTGAGCTACTACAGGAGCATATGGATGATAGAATGAGGCTAGACGCCATTGATTTAAACGCATGCTTGCTATTATGTTTCACGCAGGTCGGGGGGGGGGGGCAGTTGGTTGAAATTGTGAAGGGACAGGTTGATGGGTGAGTTGGTGTGTCGGTATGTGTGTGATGTTCTCAATGTGTATGCTCTCATGTGTCGTAGTGCATATGGCTGCTCTGTAATTGGTCGTGCATGGTGAGGCTGGTGCAGGTGAAGGGGAGCGCGGATGTACTTGATGTTCTGGGCAAGAGTAATCTGTCGTAAGAGTTGCCGGGAGACTAATGTGGGAAGTTGGAGATGATGAAGAAGTGAGCTGTGATGGAGTGGTGCAAAAAGGGGGGTCCGCAAGCAGATACGGGCTGCTCGTCGCTGAACGCGTTCTAATTGGTCCTTCTGTGTGCGGGTGGTGTTGGATAACACGAGACTGCCGTACTCTATAACCGGGCGAATGTAGGCGGTGTAGATTAAGAGCAGACTGGGGGTGTTAAGTTGGCCTCGTGTTTTACGAAGTTGGTGAAGGAGTTTTTTGGATATGTTTATTATGTGCGTGACATGTGGGTTCCATTGGAGGTTGTTTTGTAGTATGATTCTAAGGTGACGGTGTTCGTTGACTTGCTTTAGATACTAGTATAGGCTGTAAGCTTGGCTCATGGCGCGAATGAATGATCCAGGTTGATAGTGTGATATGAAAATGATTGCGTGAGTTGGGTGATGGGGTGCAAAAATAGGCGCAAACAAGAATAGACTTTAGGCCTAGGCTCATCCAACCACATGTTCTTATGAGGGAGGCAAGGAGAAGAACAGTGGGGTCACTGTAATTATGAGCAGCACCTCACCTGCGAGTAGTGAAAAGGTTATGATTGTGACGGCTGATGGTGAGAATGTTGAGAGGTAATACTTATTTTCATATCTGCACTTGCTGACTAGCTCCGATCTTTTGTTGATGGACAGGCTTGTCCGCCTGAAGGATCTCTAGGTTCTCTCAAGACACAGAGGACAGCGCCTGGTTATATTACTGTAACCTGGGGTCTGGGTGATAACTGACCAACCTGTACTGTACTCTCTGTTTTGACGCTTCAGTTTCCTGACACACTTTGATAGTTCCATGCTATTCTCATGTCTGAATGATGTTAAACGGTTGCCTTGTCTCTTCTTGAATGGTTGCTCCGTAAGACCGATCTACTCCTTCTGTCTCTCCTCTCAGATTACTTGGACGGTTGCCTTGTACACAATAGAGCTGATTTGGCAGTTACCGTCCATTGGGCACTGTGTTTTGTCTCTGCAGTTGCATCGTTTTTCCTTGGGCTGTCTGTCGTTGTTTCCACTCTTACATTTCGCTGAGTTGTTGTGTGACTTGACCATTGCAGACATATTCGGAATACAACTACTTCAAAAAGTATAGCTTACTTTAACTGTATTCCGGTTGAAGATCTTGTGTCGTCTGGATCCGGCGGGGAGGTGTTTTCCTATTAGTCGCAGGAATCTCTGTCCGATGTTTGTGGCTACTGTCTTGCTGAAGGGCGGGTTACACCAGATGATATTCCACCGCCTGTTTTTCTTTTTCTTGCTTGAATCTTTGTCTCTCTCTTCCATGTACTCTAGCCATATACTCTGCTCTGGTCATAGACTCTAGTCCTTCGGAATATCCACTGTTCCTAAGTGTGCTGTCGTATAGCGGTGCGGCTTCTTTGAACGCGTCTTGGTTGGATGAAACATCGGTTAGCCGCCTGCTAATAGCTTTCGGTATTATCTTGATGATTAATGGTGGATGATTCGATTGGCTGTGGACATAGACCCTTTGTTTTGTGGTTACATGTATATAAACCAATATCCAGAATTTTCTCATTACTGTTTTCTGATGATCGCTTAGTTCGTGAAACTCGGAGTTAAAACACTTTTTCATCCTCTTATTCTTGTTGGAAGTACTAGTACATGATTGTACATGTACACTGTCATGATACATAGTCATTGTAGCGAGAGCATGCCATAACAGCGTGCAGAGGAGTGGTGCTCCTTTCCTTTGAAGATAATCATGTATGCTGGCTTTGGAATATTGACAAACATTTGAAGTTTTGTGGGAATTGTATCTGACAGCAAGTTTAAAGGTGTACAATGTACATGTACATGATGGTCCTTGCCAATTGCCACAACACCTTAGCTGTGATATGCCTGCCCTACCATTACATTACTTCGTAATTATAGCAACCGGCTAGCAACGCCTGATTACCGCCTGAGGACTGCGTTTGAACGCGAAACTCGGAGTTACGGAAAGATTTGTGGTCTCTGTAATCATGCCTTCATGGTAATGTTGTTTTGCATTTGAAATTGATTGTATTACAGTGTTACATAGTGTGAGTCATTTCGCAATGAAGGGGGAAGGGGTACGGACAGACACACTGATACTTACGCCGTAGATCTACACTTGAGTTCTAGCTGCGGAACACGGCGAGCGTGACCACATCGTTACCTCTCTACACTTTTCGAGTAGATCTACTTGGCTGCGTTCCGGATTGTTGTGACGCGATGTTTTGGCACGATTGACTCGGAAGCGATTGACGCTGAATCTGTGTGGCTCAAATCGTATCTGCGGATCGATCCGAGTCGACCTGGTAGATCTACCGGTATTCTACAAGACAACCATACAGGTTTACATGTTACTCCGCGCGAAGAGTGACAAGCAAGGCATGCATGATTTCAAGATGCACGTAGCTGAGATGGCTAAATGAGGAAGAAACAAGGAAATAATTACGCCTGGTCACATTTTCTTAGTTTCACAGACCCCACATAGCCTCGGGCTAGATATTTCGCGCAGGTCCTGGTGCGAGTTATCGATCATCGTAGCGCAAAAGATGGATATCGTGAGCAGAGAGGGCCCATTTGCCGGGGCCCTTTGGAAGGTTTGCCCTCAACCAGGAAATTTCATTTCTTCTTGACGCGCATGTCGTGTTGCATCAATAGGCATGTTCCGAGGAACACCGGTAAAGGCAGTGTCTCGCAGCTTGGCATTCCAAAGAATATCGGCCGTAATCACAGTCGAACAGAACGCTCCATGCATCGTGCCAGAGAATGTACGACCATCTGGACTGTGGTTATGCCTTTCTCTCCTTTGCGAACGATTTCTACACTGTAAACGCGCAAGTAGCGAACATGGAGGCTCGAGACTCCAAGAGGTAGCATTCTTGAAGCAAGATAAAAATGAAGGTAAGATACTAATGATGGTACAGAACAATTATGAACTTTTGTCTTGTGGGGCGTAGGAGGGCGAGAGGTTGGTCGCATCATTTCGTGTTTCTTTCGTCGCTCAGATAATTTATGTTCTTCCGGAATGTCATAGAACCAATGCACTGTGGTCTAATGATAACTGATTAGGGGCTTGGGAACAGGCACTTGAAGAATGTCAGCCACGGAGGGAGTTCCACACGTAGAGCACCAGCAGCCGCTGACCCCGGTCGCTTGTGCACATATGCATGCACAGTTTTAGATGGGCATCTTTTCAAGTTCCTGCCCGCTTCGTACAAAGTATCCTGAAAACCTTGTTGCCAGCCGGTTGCTAGCAGACCAGCTCCAGCACGGCAGCAGAGCAGCCAAGAGCTCAGCAAACAGTAGTATGCTGTATGGGGCTGATGGGCTTCCGTAACCAGAGATTACGGTCTGCGTCCTTCAGCAGTTTTGCTCACTCCGCTGCCCTGGTCACGTGAAGTGACACAACTTAAAAGGAGGTTAGCTGGCACGGACGTCGACACAACTGTGCTGTGCAATCGAGCAGAAAATTACAATAACGGACCTGTTCATGGCAAGCACTTGAGATTTGGTTTCAATACAAGCGGGTGTTGGTCATACTTATTGCCTTCAGCGTTTTGTTGCGTTAGAGAAGAGGAAAGATTGAGGAAGTACAGTGGCATCAGTTTGGTTGTTTTGTTCACACAGAGAGTAATGGCTGTTCCAGCACATCCAGTTTACTCCAACGCAGTGGTGACAGCTAGCAGGGGCATCACATCATCTTCACAGGCGTCTCGGCAACACCTTCACTTGGAGTTCAGCCCGCCGACACACCTCACTCTGCCACGGCCATCCCTGAGCATGGACTACTACGGGAGAGGCTACAGCAGCTCTGGTAGCGTGTATTCCGCAATGCCCGGCAGTCTGTCGCCGACTTCCACACCGGTGACGGCGGCCACGGGGAAAGCAATGGCGCTACCCGTCCAAGGGGGCGAGGTCTACCCCGCTGCGCCGGTCCTGCAAGGATTCCCAGGTGGTGGTCGTGTGATAGCTTCACAGCAACACCAGCCGGTACCTGTTCCTGATTTCTACAACAATCTGATGATGACAGAGATAGGCACCGGTAATCAGCTGAACACTTTCCCGTTCCACGTCACACGCATCCTGAGAGATTGGCTGTGCCGCAACCTACAGGTTAGTTCGCTTGAAGGTGAATTCAAAAGGAAATGCTGCTTATCAAACAATGTACTTACAGGGTTGTTCGCCCGAAGGTGAAATCAATAGAAATTGTTGCAAATCAACCAATGTTCAAGTCGTACAGGTTAGTTCATCTGAGGGTGAAATCAGTGGGAATTACTGAAAATCAACCAATGTACCTACAAGTTTGTTCGGCCGAAGGTGAAATCTGTAGGAATTACTGAAAATCAACCAATTTACTACAGGATAGTTCACCTGGAGGTGAAATCAATAGGAATTACTGCAAATCAACCAATTTCCGCAGGCATGCAACCTTGGAGAACCCTCGAGCAATTCCAATTCTCCAGCTGAAAAATTTCTTAAGATTAACCATGACGGCTACCTGAAGTATGCTTAGTTATACTGTACAGGATTTTAATAAGCAGCATACTTTGAAAAGGTTGCAGCCCCTTACGAAATTTATGACATTTCAATGCTTACAACATTTTGAATATAATTATATACTGTGCAATGCTCCACAGCCTTTGCCAATGTTCAATACAGCTCTTTAGAGTCATGAGATTTTGTCTATGCATGGGGGAGGGGGGGGGGACGCTTATGTGAATACATGTATATGATAGGAGTAATGGTTATGGCTTGAATACTGATGGGGTCAGGATGGCGCAGATGCACGGGTATGTGTTGGCACTTTGGAGTTTTTCCTGCACGGCCGTGTAGCTCTTTAATGTCATGCGGCTTGTGCCGTCTTGCATTCTACAGCAGGGCATGCAGAGCACACACTCATTCATGCCGTATATCGGGAAGGAATTGAGACTGGCACCTAAAGCTCCGTAATTGAAAATGTATACTAGTAGCAGGAACGAAGGTTGATGGGTCCTCAACTGCAGCGTACTGTACCTCTTAGGGCCACGCGGATCTTTTTCTCCTTGCTGAGATGCTCTCTATCCAGGTGACTGGAAATCCATACGTACTGGCTGCACATTGTTTGCTATATCCGGTACAGCAAGTACATTATGCTATATCCGGGATCGTTGACTACTGATTTCTCATGGATACATGCTGCACCTCGTAACTACATGACATTGTATTCAAGATACACGATGCAGCTTGTTACCAGATTGCCTATAGTGGCCCACTCCTCTACGTGGGAGCTTTGAGCCTTCGTCTCGGGGTACTAGTACTTTGAAAGGAAGCGGCGCAGCAGCAGCATGTCGCATGTCAGCTGTTGACTAGGACTGCACAGTGTGTACCAGCATGTGGTCAGGGGTCTCTGGTACGCTTGTCACAGGTTGGTCAGTTGGGGGCGAAGAAGATCATCTTTGTTTGACTCAAAGCGGGCGTTACAGTTGGAGATAACTGTGACCTAACATCAAGCAAGTTCAATTCCATTCCTGGTGGGAGGGCTGCATAGTTGAGAATGGAGTAATGTGGTGGACTCCATAGATATCCGGTGCGGTAGCTGCCAGCAGACCATCAGGGCTTAGCTTATCACTCGCTATGTTCGGAGATTTCTCTGTAGCCACACCTCCTTAGACCCGCGTGGTGTTTCACTTTTCCGGTGCAGCTTGTGACTATTGAGCAGTGGATGTCATATGCCAGTGCCCAATCAGGCACAATTCAGTAGTAACTGGAGCAGTAAGCTGCAACAAACACCATGGTCATTGCGTAACACTTGGTCGAGTTATTTACAGTCATGCTGTGTGAGTTCACCAGACATGACCCACAGCAGTGTTTTCCTGAAGTCTGGTCCTGAAGTTTGTCCGTTTCAAGACGCACGGGCACCTTGAAACAGGTTTGATATATTTCAGTGTCATTCCAGGAATTTGCTGGTATCAATCCCGTTGCCACACAAGTCCCCTTCAACTCACGATTCACAAGAAAGCAGCAGCTCCTGATTCATTCTTGGCTATCAGCAATGAATATGCACTCCTCGGAAATTGTGGGAGTCGCATTAGGTGAACGTAGTATATTCTATGCTGGTTGTGAGTGCTTGCGCAAGTCTGGCTATGAACCAAAGGTGATAACAGTGGGCCTAGAAGGATTGCCTTTGGACTGTTTGAACAACAGAATGGCATGTACCGGAATGCAGCCCTACATTGCAATGGGCAGAAACATGTAATGCTGATACAGTGTTACACCGTGAGTTGGACTGGGAATCGATCACACGGCATAGAGTGGGCAAATGCACTCTTGGCCTGTATACCGCTCCACGGCCCACCTTCCATACGGTATAGCGTTACGTCCCCATCAGCTGTAAGTTTGATGGCTTATCAGTGGACAATAGGATGGGGGTGTTGTAGCTAACAAATGCAAGCATGAATTCACCTATGTGCACATTGGTGTTATTGATATGTTCACACATCCCGGTCATCTATAAGAAATGTATGCAACATTTTTTTCAATCGCAGTCAATAGAGTTTACAGGTGAGCAAAGGGTTGCGGCCATCTAAGGTCTTCATGTATGTATATATAGAGACTAGGGGCAACTTTGCTTTAGGCAGTATGCTTGTGTGTACTTACGTATGTGTAGGTATGTACTCAATCTCCAGACAGCTAGCTGTTTCGAACTTGCAGGGCTCAGAGTGATTGCCCACTATGTATGTATGCATGCATGTACATGTATGGAAAGGGTGGCCACGGGATCACGATCCAGGGACTGTTTCAGTATTTAAAAGATGGCGTGTTAACTCACTGTGATGTCTCTGTGCACGACCAAGCCATCTCAGCCTAATGCACTTGACCACAGCATCAAGGCTGGTGAGTGTACCAAAAAGAACCGTTTCAATCTTTGGCAAATCTGACTCATCTGTGCGATGATGACGATGATATCATTTGGTGCCCAACATATTGCCTAGCATCTTATTCAAAGGCTCGGACTCAATATGTACTATGACATTGACCAGGCCTGGCAGCCATGTAGACCAACAGCATAAACAGTAGCCGGTTACACGGCGCATCTGTATTTCGGGGGATAGGGTTTGGCAAGAACATTTTCTTGTTCGAAACCTAGCGCTTTATCGCCACAATCTCTGGTCTCCTTTTGACCTGTGTGTCAAAGGTACGGTAGGCTCGTAGTCGTAGGGTAGCTGCAAGGTCTGTTAATAACTTCTGTAGTTGTTCCTAGGCAACACCAGCCACACGTCCTGCAGGATCCCCGGCCAATTCAGGTCCAACAGTAGTAATCAAAATTTCGGTGTCATTTATCTAAATTACCTCCATCCCATAACAATGTGCAGAATGATCAACTCGCTCTAGCAACTCCTACAATTCATGAAAATTTGAACCTAACAAGTTAAAGTCATCAGCAAATGCACATTTGCGATGGAAATGCCGCTAATCCTCACCGACGTAATGTAATTGGTGGTAAATTACCAATGCCGAGATAAGCTATTTACGTGATTGTGGATAATGTGGGGAATAGGGTGGTTAGTATGGTGGGTAACATGAACAGTTCATTACAGTGTCTGATGTCAGATCACTTGGCAATTAGTTCCATGTCAGATCATTGCCACTGTGACATGGCAAGCGTTGATGCGTGCAGTCAGGTACCAGACTTCTCCCATTATTGCCTGTCCTCGTTGGCAGCTTGCCTCGAGTGTCTTGATTTCATGCCAAGAGCGTGCCAGCATGGGACCGAGGCGTGGGCACCCCATGTGATCGCCTAGATGATACGATCAGTGGGCATTGGTTTGTGGTAGTAGCTACGAGGGCTAACCTCCATCCTATGCATGCCGGGTATGTTATCCCATGACAGCCATATAGCCCAATGAACAGTACGGTAGGAAAACAACATCATCCAAGCAACACCTTCACAGCAAAACCGGTTTGCAGTATTTTCATCATCCACCAATTTTGAATGTTTCTGAGCTCCTTCCAGGAATTGGTGCGGTGAATTTTACTCAAGACACCATGAGACTTCCGATCTGTTCAAGAAGATAATGCTCTGCATGTTCCTTGGATTTTGTGTTATTCGTGTTGGTGTGCAGCACCCCTACGCCACACTGGAGGAGAAAGAAGACCTGCGCCGTATCACTGGCTTATCGCTGCATCAGATCAATTACTGGTGAGCTGCTACACGGCTATACTAGTTGACCATCTTGGTTTCACTAGTTTGCCAAGTGATGCCTAGCTGCATGCTCGCAAAGGTGATGTTGCAGCTCAGGCATTTGAAGTCCGACTCTCACTTACGTGCCACTTAGTGAATTTGATAGCTGTCTGCAAGACACAGGAAACAGGTTTTTCAATGAGTTCTGCCCCCCCCCCCCCCCTCCCCTCCCCAATCATTATAACGCCACAGTCAGCTTTGTGACATTGCCATACCATGCACGATTACGCACAGCATAACAAAAATAGTGCTACCCAGCTGTGCGTCTAGAGACCATTGGCCTACGTGCTGACGGTTTCTTTGTTCTGCTGCCCACTTGCAGGCTGACCAATGCACGGCGAAGACTGGTGCCGCGTCTTCTCCAGCACGTCAACCAGGATCGCGTCAAGCGTGGCCTACTGCCGGTCACCAAGAGCCGCTGCAAGAACAAATGCAAGTGGCAGCGCCAACGCCAGTCACCTGATCACCTCATGCCACCACAGCAGACACTTAGCTTCACACCAGCCATTCAGCAGTCTACGATTGGCGGCAACAGTACACCAGCACAATCGGTGGCAATGTATTCGCCTCCCGTGTCACCAGAGAGATCCGTGAGCTCCCCCGTTGAGTCCAGAGCAAGCCCACCCATTCCGGGTCCAGGGCTAATCAATCACGGTCTCAACGTTGCAATGCCGTCTGGTCCGTTCATCATCAGCCCCGCCAATGTTGTGCTCCTGCGGCCAAACAACATGCGCTACGCAGTGCCTAGCAGCATGAGCCAGTCCAACATGATACGCATGCGGAATCCATTTCAACCCATTGTCCCAGTACCGTGTCCGTCCGACCCGCCACCTCTGGAAAAGATCCGATCGGTGTAAGCTTCCAGTCCGCCAGCCTGTGAATGGTGACAGTCACTAATGATGCGAGTTGGCCTTCAACTGAACTGTGCTTGCTTTCCTGCAGCTAGATATGATCGAATGCAGCTGTGTACTCAGCACGAAGATGCATGCGCAAGCTATCATGCTCACGCGAAATATTTTGATTCACAAATCCCGATAGAACTGTGTATGGAATCTCTACCTATTTCTATCTGAGTTTCTTTCTTGAAAAATCATAGTGATATAGTACCAAGTACTTGTTTTTGGGAAAGGATTTGACACCAGGACCACCATCATTATCGGCATGCTTGATTGATTACCATAGTTTTGTCCAGTCACCACTGTTGGCCTGCTTGATTCTTTCATCCTAGCTCTTATTTTCCACTTGCTGAGTCAACACTGAGGTTTCATCACATCATGCTTTACTTGAGGCGCTATGATTAGTAGTTCCGAGTCCGGAGATGACCATGCATTGGTGTGGAAGTGGCAAATTGCCAATGACCAAGGCGACGACTCTGACGGGATATGATGGTATGATTATCTGAGGCAGACGCCAAAGTACGTGACCAAAATTCTGCCAAGTCCCACACGATAACTGCTCATCAGAAATGTTTGGACTCGACTGCTCCGGTTTTCTTGGTGTATGTTGGAAGTGTCAGCGCCACCATGGCATGTGTGAGTGTGAGTGTGTGTGTCTGTGACCCTCTATATTGAGACTTTTTAAATGACTTCTAGTACATGTCACTTCGCCATTTTTTTGTTCAAAAGGAACTAACTTTGGCTCAAGTGCTTGTCAGTTGTAGAGTTGCGAAATCCAAGATAATCTACGAGGTGTATGTCTAGGTTTTGTTGCAGTCTGCCAGACTCTATCAGACAGTCGCACTGTCATCGATTACAATTGGCCATTGCCTAGCTGTGCCACGGGACTACTGTTCCGACGGAAAAGGGCATTCTTCAGTTCAATTACGCGTTGCACCAGTCCTTCGCTTCAGTTCAGACTATACATAATTATGTGGTATGCTCATGGCGGAGACTGGGAAGGTGTTCTGTTGTGGATACGCTACAGCTTGGAGTGGAAGGACGTGAAACACCGCCGGCCACATAGTCCGGGTGCCGCGGTGATGCCCGTGGGCTTTTAATATCGCCTTTGGGATGCCTTTAGGGAGCAGGTCAGATGTTACGCTACAAGTAAAGTTTGTATTCACTCATTCTTGCATGGTCCTCAATTATTTGTGTGCAGCATGGTGGCGTATGAGGAATCAGACATACACCCAAGAGAAGCTTTCCAAGCATGTATCAGTTCCGATCAACTACAGTGCAGACGGTCACTGCATTATAGACTATGAAAGTCATGCGATGAGCTGTGTCAGCTACTTACGTTTTGTGACATACTAAGTTACGACATGAATAATGACAATGAAGCCTCTTCCAGGCATAGGATTAGGAGTCCGAGAAGAATGACTTGTCTTGGTGTCTGGCAGCTGAGCTGACTGCGATGTACATGACTCGAAATTGTGGTGTACTTTGTCCTGCTCCCCCAAACACACATGAATAGAGGTGGCATAGTCTAGAGTGTTATTATCAACTAAAGTCATGTATGTGTATGGAGAGTAGGTTGCTGGGAGCCTAAAAACTAGGCTAAAGATCTGACTCATGTACATGACTGTATTAATCGGAAGCGGGGACATTTTATTCACATGATTTTGGAATTATCCTGACCGTGTCTAGCCAACTTATGCGCCCCGATCCCTTCATGTTCTTGTGATGCGAGGAATATGGAGCCGAAGAAACCGAGTAAATGCAACGCGTGCTTACGAAACATAATCCATCACGGATATCGTTCTTCTTTGCTACACAAACATCCCAGGATTTACATTGTGCTCGAGAGTATTGTGATGTTCACATCTTGTCATGCGACTAAATCTGTGCACAAAGTGTACATGTACATGGCGAACGAACAGTGGAACCAACATGGCCGACAGCATGTGACCCTTGTGCTATGCGTGGAGGGGTTGAGTGGAGGCGGAATCAACATGGCTGCCCTGTTTGGTCATGTGATAGATGCGCCGTGATGGTGATGTGGAGTCATCTCAACGTCACTCACATATTTCACATGCATGAGGATAACTGCTTCTCCCTTCAGTTCTCACATGATCAGTTTGAAGCGCATTGCCAGTATCCTGATTCCAAAGTAAGCTACGTTGCAACTTCAGGTGAACTTAAAACCCGTTGCTCGCCCCATCTATATATATACCACTGGAGAGGAGTTGACTTGGAACTTGAGACTACAGTTGAAATAGCTTCATCTGAAGTGATCCAATTTGGAGCAAGGCCAACTGATATTCGCGTGACACACAGCTGGATGTTTAACGTTCAAACCATCTGGTGCCCGACCCTGCTATACATGTAGGTTGGCGGATTATGGGTGGGCATTCCCAGTTTACCTTTGCTTGGCTGCATGTAGTCAAGAACCCAAGCCTGTTCCAGAATGGTATGATAATTGCAGGAATGAAATGATCTGATGAGAGAAGAGCGATAAAATGATCAGCTGTAGCACCTACTCCACTTTTATGTTTATGTATCTATGTCATTCGGATCTTCCCAAGTTGTACATTGTACTGTTGAGATAACGAATTCAAATAAATCAATACCAAACAGCAGCAGAGTTGCGAATGAAACGTCTAAGAGATGCAAACAAGCAGCATCATGTCTTACTAGTGTATGATAAGGCCAATGGTCAAAGCATTATGCATACATCGTGTATATGGGGGTCTTTGGGAGACATCTCGCCCAACTAGACTTCTGCCTTCTTCATTCGGCTTCAGTGCGCCTTACATACCACAGACACATTGCCTACTTTGTTGCGGCATAGATCCACGTCCAGTGTACATGTCTGCAGCATGCACATGCGTGAAACATTGCGAGTATTTTTGCATTGGGTGAAGTTAATAATATTGTGACTTCAAGGGGTGAAGTTGAAGACATCACTGCAGCTGTACTTATGGTTGATAAATATGGTGGTAAAGACACACCTGGCAATATGGCGGTAAACACACGCCTGCCCACACACGCTCTCTAGGCTGCAAAGTTCTGGCACAGAGCTCTCCTTCTCACCACCACCACCATCAGTTTGCGCCTGGCGCCTGGTCGATGCATGGCTGGCGGTATCCGGCATAGCAGGCTGGCACATCAAGTAGCGCATGGCACATAGATGATGACACAGCAACGACATAGCTCGATTGCGACGTACGTTTCGTCCCCGCTGGACTCATCAGGCAATCTTCTTCTTGGATGTCTTCATACGGAGCATTCTCCCGAGTCAAGCTCCGTATGAAGACATCCAAGAAGAAGATTGCCTGATGAGTCCAGCGGGGACGAAACGTACGTCGCAATCGAGCTATGTCGTTGCTGTGTCATCATCTATGTGCCATGCGCTACTTGATGTGCCAGCCTGCTATGCCGGATACCGCCAGCCATGCATCGACCAGGCGCCAGGCGCAAACTGATGGTGGTGGTGGTGAGAAGGAGAGCTCCGTGCCAGAACTTTGCAGCCTAGAGAGCGTGTGTGGGCAGGCGTGTGTTTACCGCCATATTGCCAGGTGTGTCTTTACCACCATATTTATCAACTTCAAGGGGTGTATATTATAGAGGTTTTGAAGAGAAATAAGGGTCTTTTGAAAATGGATTTGACCACTATAGGCGATATATTTCCATAGACGACTATTACAATACACGATACCTTCGTATACATGTACTTGGTTAAGGCAAATGAAAATGAATTTGAAAAATAATTACTGTAGTCGGTATTATGTATAGCGTTATTACTCCGATGTACTGCAGTGCTGGCAACTGAAATCCGACCCCCTTGCCTGCGCGCCGCGCCTCCCAGGGGGTCGGATTTCCGTTGCCAGCACTGTAGTTGCCACCAACCCTATGGCCGTATGGGCGATGTGCACTGTAACAGTTATTGCTGTTTCAGAGTGCCCCGCATTCCTTGTCAAACAGAAAGCGGAAGCTGACTTACTTCGAACGTGTATTGTAGCAAACCATGTCCAGTCACTTGAAAAATTCATCATCCACTTTCAGGCTGACCAGAGTGGTTGATTGTCACGCGAAGTTTTCAAAAGCCTGATCATCTAGGTGACGGCGATTACGCGACAACTGGTGAAACGATGTTCTGCCAGGAGACAGCTTTTTACCCCGAGTGCTTACGAGAAACATGCTGGATGCGAGGCGTGGCGCGGTAATGACTTTTCTCACGAAACCGTAGTTATCCGAGGACGGTAACTACGCACTAACGCTACATTCGTAATAGCTGGCAGCGGCAAATATTTTTTTAATTCGTGGCAACGTTTTCTATTACTGTATTAGGTGATCGGATCGGGCAGGACCTGGAAAACTCTCACAAGGTGCGCTTCCAAGGCACACTTTGAAGGGCATTCGATCCGTTGATGTACATGTACAGTACATGTGTAGTGTAACTATAGTGTCTGCCAGCCTGCTCGTGTCTGAGGCACTTTGGGCTTGCAACAGAAAGTGATACAGGCTTACAGCACTAGCGGGAGGAAACAAGCTCTTGGGCTTAGACTCTTCACTTCATAATAGATTACTTGCACAAAGATTGTCTGGGTTCGAGACGGGGCAAGTGGACCTTCTGACTCTGACTTCCCCACCTTTTGAGTTCGTGACTTTCGAAGTTTCGTTTTTTTGCCTGACGAACACTGAGCTAGTTTTTTTGGCTAGAGAGTAGAGTTGTTTTGATTCGACTTGTATCGTCATGCCGAAGCGCTGCTGCGCTCCTGAATGAACTAGCAGACGAGAGATGGAACTGAGGCTCCCATTCCATACGTTCCTTTCCGAGCCGGCCGGGCGGGAGGCAGAAAAATGAGGGAATGTTTATTTTAGTATCATTGGTGTAGGCTGAAAAACAAGCACGTCGTGGTCCTGAAGTGTGACTACTTTCCCGCAGTGGAAGCGAAGTCAAGCACAACGAAAGTTTGTGGACGTCTGAGAAAGAACTCGATTCCCTTTCAATCGGCTGCACTAGCTCCAGAGCGACCCTCTCCTGAGGACAGACTGCGGAGAGGCCAGGAACCTGCCGAGTGACGAGTGGAAGCCTAAACCACGAAAATGAAGGGTGGAAGGACTGAGTATGAGAGCCAGATGGCCTTTAGTAGTACGAGTACTTCAAGTAGTATCTGAGTTGAAGGAGATAACAAGTGTGCTGGAGAAACGCTGCGAAGTCCTCAGGCCTGATGTGTACTAGCTACTGTTGAAGTCTCACTTGTTCCGATATGAACATTTCATCAGCCCTTACTCTGAGCAGCTGTATCTAGGCTTGGATCTAGGCCAGAGACATAGCATTGTAAACCTTACTGAAGCCATATGTATCCGATGCCTGGCTCCAGTGAGAAAGCAGTTTGGCGCAGGCTCGCAAACTATGATTGAATCAGGGAGTGGTGGAAAGTCACATTATACCTCTTCATGATTAGCTGGTAATGACGACGATGCTGCTCCGGCTGGGTCTCATGGGAAAGTAACTTGCATACCTGTTTAGTTGCAACGAGGCAACGGTACCCCATGTACTGAAGACATGATTGAACTACATTTCATCTCCTCCTG